TACATATTATAGAATATCTCCATTAAGGTTGAGTACTCTAGTGCACGCCTGTAATATTAGCATTTAGAAAGTTGAGGCACCCGTGAAACCTCATCAGTATGGTCTCTTCAGCAGGATCTGCTCAATGAAAACAGCAATTGGCATGAGTGTGGTTCTCAAAAATCTCACAAGACCTTACCCCTAGAAGAAGAACTACTAACAACTGATGACCAGGGATGAGCCCCCTGATAAGTTATCAAATCCCAAATAGTTACCATAAAAACATATACATACGAGCAACACTAAATAGACTCAACGGCCAAAACTTATGTTTTATATACATATAACAGTAAATATTTAAAAAACGGTATCATAAATTTGAGAGGTGGGGTGCCACAAGAGAATTTGGAGGTGAGAAAGGAAAGAATGAAAATGATGCAATTATAATAGTCCCGTATGGAATGCTGAAGAAGAAATTATTTAAATTTAATAAATGAATAAATAAAAACAATTCTGAAGTATGTATGGCACCAGAAGAGATTCCTGAGTAGTCCAGTGGATCTTGTACAAAAAAATAATCAAAGTTGGAGACATGATAGTTCAAGTTACATAATTTTTTTAGGAATTAAGACATGAAACCAGAGTCTTAAGCTTTCTAGGCTACCTCTATACCACTGGGCTAAATTTCCAACTCCCAAAGTCTATTATAAAGATTCAGTAAAGAAAACAGTTTAGTGTTTACATAGAAACAGATATATTCTTCAATAGAACAGAAGAGAGAGCCAAGAAACACACTCACGTGTTTGTAGTCAATTGAAGCTGACAAGGGCAACACAAATATACAAGGGAAACAGAATAATGAATGGTGCTGGGAAAACCAGATGTCCACATGTAAAGGAATGATGTCAAACCTCTGTATTATCCCATATACCAAAAATGTCAAATCAGTAGATTAAACATGTAAAGCTAAGGCTTGAAACCGTAAGACTTCTAAAAGAAATAATAAGGGGATTAGTTGGCATTGACCATGGCAATGATATCTTTAACACAACACCAAAGAGAGAAACAAAAGAAACAAACAAAGAGAAACTACTGGGTACAGCCATATCTGATAGGGATGACAGAAGTCATAAAGCCAGCACAGCTGTTTAACAAGGATCCAGCAAAGCTGAGCCACATGATGGTCTCCATTCCACATTTGGTTTTCATCTCTGCCTGTTGCACACTTAGGAAACTTTTAATATTTGTACAATTTTGAAATATTGGATTGATGGAAAATAAACTTTCTTATTTATGCCATTTATGCCTTTTTTGAGAAATGTTATTTCTAAGCTTCCCCAGGACAGTTCTAACCACTCTATACCCCCTGCTTTAGGGAGATATCTTTATCTATTTGAAGGTCTTCCTTTCACCTACGAGGTTGTGACAAACATAAAGAAGCCAGAGGTCTCTTTATGAGGTTATGAGATATTTTTGAAATATCTTTCCCTGTTCTTGCTCAGGAACAAGTTAATCAAAACAAAGTAAAGTTAAAAAGGTCAACAAGATTCAATGGGCTGGATTCAATCAGGTCGCAAGCCTCCTCTCATTATACACTCACACAATTATGTGGCATATATAGCAATAATGTTAGATTAGCTGAAGTTACCTCTGTCCTACACAGAGATTTATACTGATGGGCAAAGAATTATGTATAAAGATGATTTAAAAAGTTTTCTATAAAGATAAAAATTATAAACATTGTATTATGCCAAAATTTGAATAATAACTGGAGCAACTTTGGCCTGAGGCTATTTCTTGGGTACTTTGACCATTAAGCATTAATAACACACTGCTTGGTACATGGCAGCATGCCCAGGAAGGCTTGAAGATTGTTTTGATCAAATGTCCTTGTAGTCACAAAAACAACTAGTCTGAGAACAACTTCTCATATGCCACTAGTTTCTTAAAATTTTTGTTAGGGGTTTAATAAGTAAAAATGATAACTCTGTTTATCAGTGATGTCAAAACTTGAGGGAAATGATAACTATGTTCCGTTATAGTTTATTAATGATGACTAACAGATGAGCAAGAAGAAATAAAACATATGCCCAAAACCAAAAATTATATAATCTATGTTTTGGAGCAACATGAGTATATCCCTACTTACAAATTTCTGTACAAATAAAGAAGCACTCTGGTTGCTAGTCAATCAGGCTGCAGGATTTTCCTGACCATCATGGATTGGTTTCCTCCTTCCCTCCCTTGCCAACTCCTTACATTCTCTGCTGGAACCTGTCCACCATTGCTGATGGCTTCCAGCAAGTACTGGAAATCAATTTGCACAACAAGGGAAATAAACCAGAGTGAAAAAACAACTACCGAATGAAAAAAGAGGGGAGTCATTTGCAATCCATATATATAATTAAATGTTAACAAATACAAAATACACAACTCAATGACAAGTGCTCCCTTGTCCATTGTTAATGATATGTAGTTAGTTGCTTATAAAGTTATATATACACAGAACTAAATCTCCAGGAAACAATTTTTTAAAAAAAAAAATGAGAGCAAGTAAAGGATATTCCGCCATTACTAATTTCATTTACCTCTGATCCGGAGTGGTAGATACACTGCAAAGAGTACCGCAGCACAGGCTAAGAAGCTCAGTATTTGAATAGGCCATAAGTTCATCACAAGGAGACATCTATGTAGCCGTCCAAATGTACAGTCTAAAACAAAGAAGGGTAGAATGGACAAAGAGGAACACATGACTGTAGGATACAAGCCTATATGCAACTAACTGAAAAGGCAAAGGTCACTGTCTCAATCCCTCTTGACCTAGGAGGGATCCATCTGAAAGCTTGGTTTGTAACTAGTGGAAATACAGAATAATAGAATTGCTGCACTAGCAGACCTGGACTTGAAGCAGCACAAGTTGTATCTATTCCATTTCAAGCTGAACTACTTCTTTAAAAGGAAATTATTCCTCTAATTTTCAGGATTTAAATTTTCATTTATTTTATTACTGCATTGTATCCTCTTTTAGAGGGATAGAGATGACTATGCAAACTAAAAGGTCATAAGTCATGTAAATACACACCATCCCTAACAAGAACCATGTTTTGGGAACTGCAAAGTTATCAATGGAAAGTTCAACATTTCTAAGATGAAAAACAATAGTGAATCTGCTTGTGTTAGTCATGGCATTGGAAGATTAATGTCATCCAGGTTTGTCTAAACACTCACATGACTTGGAATCAAATTTCTTAAAAGTACCTTAATTATTCTACTTTCATCATATCATTACCTGCTCTGCAAAGGGGAATGATGTATATCACGAATACTAAGAGCATTAGACATGCAATGGAAACTAAAAGGTTCATCCAAATGTTGTCTTGATTAAAGAAGTCATCTGAAAGAAAGGACAGAATGTCTTAAAATATTATGAACACCACAAACAGCATCATTGGTTTTAAAAAGTGTTGATCTTAAAGACCCATCTTCTGTATAATCAGTATATAATTTCCCTATAGCAGGAGAATAAGTTTCCACTAACACTCTTTTCTATAACTGTATAATTATTCTGTTCTAAAAAAAAAAAACCTCTTTCACTGCATGTCAGGAAATCTCAGAAAAATTTGTAGAATGTCTCTCTCTCCATGTCTCTCTGTCTCTCTCTCTGTCTCTCTCTGTCTCTCTCTCTCCAGCAAGGTTTCACTGTATAGAATAGACTATCCTCAAATTCTCCATGATCCTTACCTCAGGCTTACAGAGGCTGAGATTACAGCCTGTGTAATCACACTTTCCTTCAGTGATTATTCATTTGTGCTGTTTTTTTCTTTAATCACAAACCTTTTCTACAGACTGACACATAGTCATAGAAAGATTTATTTTTTTCCATTTATTTCTTAACCTTCTAAGGGTAAAAAAGGTGAGAATGGGGGGAGCCCTCGGCTCTCAGGATAGAAAATGATTCCATGAAGAGAGATCTAAGTTACATATTCCCAGAACTCACATCCTTCTCCTGCAGTTATCTTCAAAACAGCATTGATAGCTAAAGGTAATTTTGCTATACATAAGACACAACCTTTCCCTGATTCGTCTCTGACACTCACCCATTACACCTTCTGAGATCCAGCAATGCAAGATAAGTACTCTGGATTTTAGATGTACTTGTTACTCACTACTGATTTTAGCAGCTTCTATAAACTAGCATTCGGTACTATACTCAAATGGCAGGGCGTTTCTGAATATTGCATGAGAATAATAAAATCTTTCTGCATAGACTTATTTAGGATTCATAAAACCTGTAAATTTGAGCACCAGGTGCACTGACACACACCTTTAATCCCAGTATTCCAGAAGCAGAACCATGAGGATCTAAATACATTGAAGGACAGCATGCTCAACTTACCAAGTTTCAGTTCAGCCATGGCTACACAGTGAGACTTTGTCCCAAAATCAAAAATAAACAGGCAAAGAACAACAAGGGTTGTTAAACGGAGGTAAAACTGTTTGACACGCAAGCTTGAGGACGAAAGTTTAATCCCTGGGACCCACTGTGGAAGAAAATCAACTCAAAGAAGTTGTCCTCAGACCTTTACACATGCACTATTGTATGTGTTCCAATGCACACAGGCACACACATACACACACACACACACACACACACACACACACACACACTACCACAAACACCACTAAACAAAATAAAATTTAAAAACATGATATTAGCTATCTACTCATTTCATAGACACATATTTGTAACCTGGGTTAAGAAAAAATTGATTAAAAAATCAACAACATTCTTATATTTACCAAAATATATACCTTATTAAACCTACAGTGTCTAATGATATAAGATTAAATGCCAAAAAAAGCTGTAATATGTGTGTTTATTACAGATTGCCATTGTTCACCCGTTTCTAATACTCTCCTCATAGTACCTGGCAATATTTATCTTACTGAAACTTAAAGAGAACTCTATAATATAATAAGCCTTTTAAATGAATCACCTCCCTAATTTTGTATTTATGTTTTTAGATCAACCACCAAACCTGACAATACTCACTTGCTAGGATGATAATTGTTTGCTTCTCTTCTCTTGTTACAGGGTTGAAAATACAGCACATTATACTACCCTGTGACTGGTTTGTGAGAAGAGTCATCTTCACGTGGAAAAATCTGGCTTCATCCTGTGAATACAATTTTGATGAGGGTGGAAGTATTTTCCCCCTGCTGTCTCTCCACTCCATTTGAGGCTGTGGGAACCACCCTGCAGAGTTACACTCCACCATGACTCCTTGAGCATCAGGAGCCTGAACATGGATCTGTGTCTCCAATCCAACTGCTGAAGAAAATGAGAAAAAAGAATCAGAATATTGTGGTGAGGTTGACTTGACTAGTTCAAACAGCAGAGTCATGATAGTTTGTTCTGTAAACTCAGAAAATGTGTGAATCAACACCACATTTGATTTACAAGTTAGACTAACCTGTTACTATTTGATGTCTATCCACTGCAGAGTTTATTTTTGAGGGAGCTGGAGGATTTTTACCCATCACTTGAATATTTTAATATTTTCTAAAGAAGGCATCTTTACCAAATGAATCTGAGAAAACTAGATGCTCACACTCAGAAGTTTGAAATTAGACCAGTAGCACACACCTTTAATCCCAGCACTTGGAAGACAGAGGCAGGCAGATCACTGAATTTGAGGCCAGTCTGGTCTACAGAGCAAGTTCCAGGACAGTCAGGCCTACACAAAGAAATCCTGTCTCAAAAAACCTAATGAAACAAAAACAAAGCAAAAAATAGAAGGAAATAAAGAACTCAAGAAAGGGAAGGAAGTAAGAATGGAAGGAAGGAAGGAAGGAAGGAAGGAAGGAAGGAAGGAAGGAAGGAAGG